TGTTCAACCTGGGTGGAGATGCCCTTCTCTTAGTAAGCTGAAAGGTGTCAGCATGGGGGCCACTAACTCAAGCAGTTGGCTAGTTGGGTCCAGGCAGCAGCTGATAGTTCACCGCATTAATGAACCTGTTTGGCTGAACTAAATGACTCGGCTGGATATTGTATTACATGTCCAAGGCTCAGGATACCACTACAGCATTTCTGGGAGATTATTCCTTCTAGTTATAAAGAAGGGCCCCAGAGTTAATACTGCTCTCAGAATAGACTCACTTACAGAGTAGCTTATGCAGTAGGATAACCCGATGCATTGATCGTTATTCGTTTACCCTCAAAGACAGAACCTGTCTTCATTCAGTCTGGAGATGGTAAGGCTACCTTCCAAATCTTTATTTATGGTGAGCCTCTTGCACTGTATCTCCACTGCCGTGGCAGCCCACATCTCAAACTCAACATGTCCGAAACTGACATTATTACTTCCCCCGTCTTCTTCCTGTGTTCCACCATGACTGATGGTACCAAAGCCACTCGGTCACCCAAGCCAGAAATCAGACCATTGACCTGCAATCCACTTTCTCTGTCAACTCACATGCAATCAGCCACCAGGACTCAGGAGTGACCCTTGTTCTGAATTCTCAATTCAATCTCTCCTTTCCACCCCTCCTGTTGATGTGTCAGTGCACATCCTTAGCTAATTGGTGTAATATAACAAGAATGGACATTTCCTGAGAGGAGGGACCAAGCACCCAGAACGCTGTGGTGGGTAAGAGTATGAACTTGGAGCCAAAATGGTGGATTTGAATCCTGGTCAAAACGCATCAACTGTGGGATAAGTATCTGAGCTTCGGTTTCCTCATCTATAAAATGAGAATAAAAATACCTCCCTCCCTGGCTTGTTGTGAGGATTAAATAAAGCTAACGTACTAACCACACTTACAACACTGCTTGGCACCACGTAAGTGTCCACAATATATATTATACATGTAACGATAGATGAGGAAACTGAGACTTCAGAACAGGTAAACACCTTCTTTAGGATCATACGGTGATTAAGTACGGCCGGCATATGAATCCAGATCTATCCTTCCTCAAAAGCCACACTTTAAAAATATTACCACGTGGCACATCTATGGTTCCACATGTGGTTGTTAATAACAAAGTAGAACGTCTAAAGTACCAACACAGAAAGACACCATATACGATATAGAACTGTATATACAATATAATCTCATTTCAAAAAATGTTACGAATTTCTCTATTACTACCTCTGAACCCCATATATTCCTTTGTCATCTCATTTTTCATCCATCTCTCCTACTAAACCACCTGAGGGCAGAGATGCCACATTGTATAGCATAGAGCCAGATACACAACATCCAATATTTGTTAAATTGCTGAATAGCATTGAATCTTTTTTAAAAAATGTATTTATTTAGCAGATAATAGATGAGTGACATTCTGCGACTTGAACATGACAAAGGATTTTTCTTTCTTTCAGGGAGATGTCTGAGGTCCCTCTGACACAACTGACCACAGTATGAAGTAGCAAGTGCTTCCCGGAGGAAGAAAGACAGTGACCACTCTTCTCAGTGTGTTTTTTGTCAGACAGCTTGTCTGCTATAGCCCTGGAAGACACTTCATCAAATGCTTTAATGATGAACTATCTTAAAGGGACTTAGCACTTGCCACTGCCTTCTTTCAAGTTGCTAGCCTGCTCCCGTTACATGGGCTTTGCAGCCTGACACTTTCAGACTTTGACATGGCTTAGAAATGACATTAGAAATGTCATTGCATAGAAATGACATCACATTGCACATGTGGTTCTACGCCTGTGTTTGTAGAGAGATTGGTAGTGAAATATCTACGATTCCCTACTTTTTTTGAATATATGGATTCAACATGTCTCTACTCCTCCTCTGTATTTCTAGCTTCTATTTCCACACACGAAATGCACATTTATTTTATTTCAAAAAGATGAAAGAAAACAGACTGAACAAAAAATTCACCCCACTACATAGATTTTCCCAGTCTTTTTTACTAAAAGTGATCAAAACCTAAGAATTTGAAAACGAAGTAATTGGGACTTCCTTGGCGGTCCAGTGGTTAAGATTTCACCTTTCAGTGCAGGGGACGTGGGTTTGATCCCTGGTCGGGGAACTAAGATCCCACAGGCCGCAGGGCAACTAAGCCTGCGTGCTCTAGAGCCCACACGCCACAACTAAAAAGAAGCCCATGCACCACAACGAAGATCATGCATGCCACAACTAAGACCCGATGCAGCCTAAATAAATAAATAAATTTTAAAATAAATAAATAAAAATTAAAAAAGAAAATCAAGTAATAGAGATAGTTCTTTCTTGTCATTTCATCTTTGGAGAAAATAACTCTTTTCTTCTTCCTTCCTAGCATCTTTCCAGTTTTTCCTTGTGCTGCAGCAAATAAATTTGAGAGTTGATGTCCCAGACATGTCCTTTTCCTATTATTTCTTTTAGGGTTGATGTAGACATGGTACCCAGTGGCAAGCTAAATGAGCCTTTGTTTTCACTGGGCCCTCAGTGGAAGAAGCACCAAGAGATAGTAGCTGAAGGCTTCTTCCTTCTCTCCTAAATCTGTTTGCTACTAAGTTGCGATTCCAAGTCTTTGGTGTAGACTCAGTGGTCTGACTGTCAATGAGACCTCTTTATTTGTTTCTTTGTTAGTGCCTTCTTCTTGTTACTTCTACCTCCTCAGTTTCCATTAGTAAAGCCAACCCTGAGGGCATCCTGCCAAGTTATCTACCCCAGCTCAGCCAACTCATCACAATTCTCACAAATCTTAGGGAAAGTCCTCTTTGGGCTAGGAAATGATCCCAGAACTCGTAGAGAAAATGGACTCTTAAATCCTGCCACTATCTTCCTTCTATCAGAGATGTTATTTCTTTGTAATCACTTAAGAACTTCCTTCCCCATTGATCTGATTTCCATGTTCAGGTTTTATCACTTTCCATTTCTGTGTTCTTCACCTGAAACATTTCTGTCCCAGAAATGGAACTCTTGTGTTTAGAACACCATTTTGAATCAATGTTTCTGCATCTTTTCCAAACATACTCCAGTATCACTGAGCCCTATTATTATACATATAGGGTTGCAAAATAAATGGGTATTTATTAAATGAAAGAGGAATGCAGCTTAATCATTTGTAGGAGAATTACACGTTTTCTGCTGAGTTTAACTGAGTAAATCATGTAGCAAAATGACAAAGCTATGTGAATGCATGTAGCATTGCTTGGTAATTGGCCTCTACCAAGACATGGCAGCATTTTTCTTCCTGGCAACTCTCACAAGATGTCAGCTAGTCAGGAGAGCACTGAGCTGGGATGGCAGAGTGGTTAAGAGAATGGCCTCTGGCACTAGACAGCCTGAGTTTGACTTTCACCTCTAGCATTTACTAGCTTCGTGACTTTGGGCAAGTTGCTTGATCTTTCCGTGCTCAGTCTCCTTAACTATGAAATGAGGATCAGAGTAATCATACCTACCCACTGCCTTCATAAGCTTGTTTAAGGATTAAATGAGCTAATATAAGCCAAACACCTAGGAAGTAGCTGGAATAGTGCTGTCTAATCGCTCACAATTATTATTACACAGCTATTACTTGGCTTGACAACGACTGTAATTCAAAGAAAAAAAACCGAGATGAGAATACCGTATTTTACATCAACTTCCAAGACAATGATACAGCACTGAAATACTTCTTCCGGGAAGATATTCAAACCTGGAGACCTAAAGGAAGCCATTACTTCTCTGAGTCAATCAGGAAACTTTCTTTTTGAACATCTCTGGAATTAATTGAAGAGTCATTAATCACCAACAATTACTAAAAGGAGCCAAAGATGTTGAAATGGAATATATCTAAAGTCTTGTGACAAACTACTCTTCTGCTATATTCCTATTTGTCTGCAATCTAAGAATCCTATTTTTGGAGATAAAGTTATAATTACATTTACATGCTACAGAATTTTCTTGGTTTTTATTGTCATTACCTCTTATATTTGATGGTGATCTTGGCAAACTCCAAGGTAGAGATTAAAGCCTTCTTTTGGTGGCAGATTAGTAGAAATTTAAGTTATAGCATTTTTTACAGCATGACATTGGCTTATCTGTTTACCAGCCTAAGGATTTCTATATTGGTTCAAAAATTCTGAGTAGATTTTTCCGCTATATTTTAAAGGAAGATTAATGCTACCTACAAGTAGCAGATATAATTGCTAATTATAATGAACGATAATTTCAGATACCAATAAATCAAACAAAACAATAATGTTTTATTTGTACAGATTGCTGTCAACAATGCTAAATTAGTAAGAGACTGAAATGTTTCAAAAAAGGTTTAGCTATTTATGGCAGACACTTAGAGGCAATGCATGAGGGATCTGTGTTTACATTTCCCCTAATTTACCTTTCCCAGTCACTGGACGAGACAGTGTACAAACAGAAAAGATTCGGCCTCTATGTCTGTGTTGATATTCAGCTGCAAGTCAGCGCCAGTTAGAATATAATTACTATTAGGGACCTGTGTCTCATTCTGGGTATACCAATGGTGTACATTAGTTTTAAGTGAAAGTGACATTGCATAATGATCACATCTTGGCCAAATCTAGAGCACTTGCTTGTTTCTATTGTTACTTAACTGCTCAGGTCTTAAGATTAAATTATCCTCTTTTATCCTTACATGAGATGGAGAAACATTTGATTTATTTCCCTTCTTCACACAATCGATTGATTTGCATAATGCCTAATGAGATTCTTTCAGATTCCCACGTGTTTTACCACATGTTGCTCCAAATGTGCCAACAGACTGTCATTTAAAGGAAAAAAAGAATCTTCAAATTCAGAGGAAAGCCTGGGCTATCCTTTTGAATACCTACAATCAGTTCATCTGATAATATTCCCAGGCAGTCAGATGCCCCCGAGAAACAAGATCTAGTTGTGTTTTGTTTTTTTTTTTGCTTGTTATCAAATGACTTACCCACAATGACTGCAGTGACAGTAAGCAGCACAAAAGCATTCCGAAACAGGTAACTTTTAACATCTTCCTTTGTGATGTTCTGCACTTTCTTCTTGGCCAAGAGTGTGCGTTTACGGACCCCTTGCTGGAATCTCTCCATCCTGCCTCCCATCCTGGCCTCTTCTCCATTGCTTTTAGTCATGTTTTACTTCCGCAGAGTGTCTCTTCTTTGAACTTCAGTGTCACGGAATCAGTCCCAGAAAGCCAGTCCTCTTTGGTGTTCAAGAACACAACTAGACGAGAGAGAAAGAGACAAGAATTACAGCCTCCAGGGGTGAGAAATCAGGGCTGCCCTACACCAGGGGAAGCTGTTGGCAAACTGCATAATCTCAGTAGGAATCAAGGGCTGGAGAGTGGCAATGCCAGATCTCAAGGCTAGAATGTGCATATTTCCTGGACCACGTGTGAGACATGTGCATAAATCCAGAATATAGGAGCAGGTACTTGTGTTACATTTTTAAACATTTGCCCTTCCCTCTCCAGTGAAGCTATAAAAGGGCTCATCGGAGCTGGGTGTGACTGAGCACCGTTACCCCCACCCGATCCCCCAGAACCTAGCCAAGTACTTTGCACAATGTTCGCCCTCAATAAATGTCCAATTGAATTAAACGCACAGGAAACGCTCAGTAATTATACTTAATGGCTCATGTTGTATACATGGCAAAGGCATAACCAGGTCAATGAAATGAATTAAGATACTGAGATTTCACAGTCAGAGGTTGCTGTTATATATAATAAAGTAACTACTTTATGCATTAAGAAAAAAACCATGATAATATCAACTAGTAAATATGCTTATGAAAAGAACACAAGTACCCACAGGCCCTGGGAAATACATTTGACCCTTTCACGTGGTAACTTTTTTTTTTTTCATAAAATAAGCTAAGTGCACTGGGCACGTTTATAAATTATCTGAAATTATAATTCATCTTCATTTTGGTCCCAAGTAGAAGTACAAAGTAGCATTTGTCTTTGTGGCAAACATGCTGGCGTCTTCTGAGGAAACTATCACCCACTTCTCAGTATTTTAAAATTTAGGATTTCTAGACTAGATGAGGAGATTAATTCAATTTTCATTCCAAACGTTACAGCGTGTGGTTTCTAGTTTCTTTAAAGTGCTCCTAGGTTATTCAAATATATCTAAGTAAATCTCTCCTTGGTGGAAATCAGCTGTTTTGAAAGATCAAGGGATTCCTCCTGCTGTTCTACAAGATTTCTAATCCGTAACCTTTCCCATGATAAATCCAAGTAAAAAATCAAGTCGTGCCTGTGGACGTGTGTATCTGGCAACGCGAAAAGCCAGTGTGTGCGTCCGTGTAGGAGGTAGCTAGAAAGCAAGAGACTCCTTGGAAGCTTTTGGCAAATCCAGGTGCGGAAAAAAAGACTAGTCTTAACAGTTTTGACTTTTAAATAAAATTGCAGGCTGGGGTCAGTGATAATAAGACGTACAGCTCGCTCAAGACTTCACAGCAGATTAAAAGTTTAGGGAGAAGTGAAGAAGAGGAGACGCGAGAGACCAAATTTTTTTCTCTCCTACTAATCTCTGATTCCCTTTACCAGTCACTTTAAAACAGACCAGCTCAGCCTTGATTCTTTTCTAGAGCTCGAACCACAATCTGCCCCCCATCCACCCTGAATGACTCAACTCCAGATTAAGAGAGGACACGGCGTAAATAGACACCACACGCTCAATGCATTAAATTACTAACATGGACTTTATCTACCAAAATGGCTAGCTTTTACTCTCGCTACTCCTCTGCTCGGGAAACAAAATACACTGGCAGAGAAATGGAACGAGAAATGTAGCCCAGCAGGAATACAGGACGTCAGACTTACCTTTTCTGATTTTGTAACGGGTGGAAGATACCCCAGGCAATGACAAGGTGAATTCCCAGCAGGTACAGCGGAGCAACAAAACGCAGCGAGCAAGGCGTGCATGTGCTCTGAAACTGCAAATTACTATCGGGGCAACTTAAGAAAAGGGGCGGAGTCTGTGCCCGGGAAAGGGGGAGTGGGGAAAAATGAAAACACCACAGGGAAGGAGGGGGGAAAGCCGAGGTTTCTGGAATATTGATTAATCTTGGCGCACCAGAAGCATGCTTGCTGGCTTTGTTTTGCTCCTTAGACCACTTTTCCAGCTTTGTCAGTTCAGTTTCATTAGAAATGCAAAACCGGGACCAGGAAGAATTGAAGAATAAAGCGCACACAACACTCAGAAAGCTTGAAGTCTTGATTAGAACGTTTCAAAGAAGACTTTTCTGAGGCTAAAGTTAATTATCTCACATAATGGCAGGTTTCCTCCCCTTAAGGAAACACGAGAGTGTGCTCTTTTGCCTGGTTGTACAACTGTTATGAAAGAGTCCCTCTTTTTAGAATTGGGGAAATAACTGACATTTCTTGGGAAGACCCGGAACGCAATCAAGTATAGAGGAAAAAAAAACTTACTATAATTCTCTAACCTTGCCTAAACTTACTCAAAACACAAGCTGAAACATGCCTCTATTTTAGCAGTTTAAACTCTATTATAGCAAATCTAATTTAGCTCACCGTCTGTGTTGCAAAGATTCAAAAAGGTAAGAAGCACAAAGATGCCAGGATCTTTGCTAAACTACTCAAGTGAAAAGCATTTTAAGACCAAGGGTATAAATGCACACTTGAAGTTTGTTAATTTCAAAAGATAAGTTGCTGTGCAGACAGATGCCTCAATTTTAAAGGAGGCTAAATGTCCCCCACACCCCCTCCTGCCCCATCATTTTTAGGAACTAGAAAATTCTCATTGCCTTGAGAATATAACTTGCACTTGTAGTCCACCTTTCTTAAGGAGGAAATAGATTGTGAAGTCGATTTTTAAAAATTAAAAAAAAATTTTTTTGAGCCTGACTCAACTCCAAAACTTAGAACTTGTTTAGTATGAAGAAAAATGTTCAACAGAAACAAAACTCATACCCAAAATTACAGAGTTCTGTATTCCTGTTTATTAAATCTCATATTCCCCATGCAAAATCTGCTTAATTCTTGTGTCTGTTTTCCAGCAAGAAAGTATGTCTTTTTCCCTTATTAGCAAATCCAGGGAGATTCTAAAGGTATGTCTCCTGCCAAGCTTCAACTGTTGCATGTATATACTCTTTTGAACAGCTCCTGGTTGGAAAGCAACGGTGAATCATGTAAATGCTAAAATTATAAATTAGCAGCAATTATAACAAGTTTTAAACTTGCATCATTTTAAGAGATTATTGAGAATATCTACCTCTGCCAGTCCCACCCCTCAGCAATCTTTCTCTTCTTCTTATCTCCTAGGTCACTTAGCATCCATATCACATAGTTTAACACATAGTTCCACTGTCTCCTACTGTTCCTTTCTTTTAAAAAATCCTGTTAAATTTTGGCTTCTCAACTAAATTGTAAGTTCTTTGAGGGCAAGAATGGGTCTTATACCTGATACAGAGTAAACATTAAATTCAACTCCTATGAATGAATGACATAATATAAGAGTATTAAACAAAACACTTTGCAACCTTCTGTGTTAAAACAAAATCACTTATTTTTATGTTCGTGCTTCTGGCCTAGGTACATGGAGCACATGTCATTTCTCAATGCCATGACTACATTTTAAAGCATTTATTTACTACACTAAGTCCTCTCTGAGCCATGGGTTTAAGACTAATTTGTTCACATTTCTTGTGGAAGTGACCTGTATTTCAAGAGAACTTAAAAGAGAAATCTTTATATGATTTTCAATGGAGTTTCAAGTCAGGTGGCATTTTCGTTTTTAATTCTGTTTTTTTTATAGGCAAGAAAAAGCACTAGAAAAACCACACTTTGTTTAGCATAGAGATGAGAAGGCCCTAGTGCCCCTTCTTTTTTCCTTTTTTCTAATCCCCAAAGCTTGGTTAAAAACCACTTCATTATTTTAGTTTGCACAGACATTATGGGAGTCTGGTGAACCCTGGAGAAGGGAAATAATTCACCACTGAAAGTTTTGTTGGCTGTAATAAAAACCCAATGAGAAAATGAGATGCAAAGAGTTTCAGTTCAGAGTTCATCTGAATTACAAGGTTTTAGTCTGGGGGACATATTGGGAACTACTTCTTTTAAGTACCACTTTCTCTTTTGGAAAGCTATAGCAATAATGCCCTCAGGACAACTTGGGTTTACTCAACACATATTTCTTCCTTTTCCTCTATTTTATAAATAAGACCCTTGAGCATTCAAACATTTTTTCCTTCTTAGAAATACTAAATAAGTGAAACAGCAAGAAATTATGAACATGTCTCTATATGTCTCTATATGTATTTCATTTAAAGCTACTCTGGGTAGGAGACACAGAGCTAGGAAATCACATTAATTTTGGTATTTCAGAGTTTAAAAAAAAAAAGAAAAGATGTGGCAAAAGCTGCTCCTTTTAAAAAATTTTCCAAGAATTTTCTTTGAACATGTTATTATAAAGTATGCTGTAGGTAAATTCATTTGGGGGGTTGGGGAATGTCACCATAACAGGAAACAACCAAATCCAACCTATCCTTGAACTCCATTAGTTTCAAGTATGAGGGATCATGATTAACAAGTAAGTGTCGTAACATAGTACAGAACAATCACATTTCAGCAGTCAAGATAAGGGAATTCTGGAATTTGAGGAAGAATATGATTAGAAATCCTTTTAACCTTTATTGAATATTTTCCACTTTTATTTGTAATTTCATGGGAGATTTTTTCCTTCCTTGTTCAAATAGTTTACATTTTAGAATCACCATAAGGAACGTCAATTTTCCTTCTACAATTTGGAAATTGTAGAATGTTAAGACAATGAAGGGGACTTGATTTAACCCCAGGGGAAGCACTAGAGGTAGCAGGAGTAGACGTAGTACTTGTGGTAGTTGGTCTTTCATTTTGTCTTAAATTTTTTCCTTCTTAGGTTTGAATGTAAAAAGCAAAACAACAAAAAATTGATGGTGAATTCTGGTTAGGTTTTTAATGATTTGGGTTTATCTTAAACCTATGTGAAGCCTGAAAAACCCAACTATAGAGGTGAACTATAATTAACCTTTATCCTACTCACTCGTTCAACAAACCTTGAGCAAGTCCTGAGCTCCAAATACCAACCCCTTTTCTCTAGGGGTCCACAGACACATCTGTAGTTATTGCACAGTGGGCAGTAGGGGAGCCCCACAGAAAGTTATGGGAACTCTGTGCTGGAGCCTATTTACCAGGTCTCCCTATGAGGACTCAGAGATCCTTGGAGGACCTGTTCCTGGCTCAGCCTTGTACGTACAGAGGACCCAAAACAGCAAATGAAAAAACCTTGAACTCTACTCCTAGGCAAGAGGGAGCCACAGGATTTAAGCACTGGAGTGATTTTAGTTTTAGGTTGAGGCAAACCCTTTGAGAGAACAAGACTTCAGTTAGGAAGCCAAAGGGGCAGAGGAGCATTTACAAACGGGGGTAGTTCACGCTCACATTAAAAAAAAAAAAAAAGATTCTATTGAAGAGTACAGACAACCTCATGGTATTGAGCCCCAAGGGATAGGCTGGCATTGAGTTGAGACCACCTCCACTAGAGGTGCTTCCTCTCCAGGTCACCTGACCCACCCACTTCACTTGTTTTAGTTCCCAGTGTGTTCCTCTAGCACATTCTAATGTTGTGACCTCTGAATGGGTTTAAGAAGTGGTCTGAGTAAGGGTAGAGGCCTAGGGAACTCCAACATAATAGGTAAGAAGAATAACAGGACCCCCCTCAATAGATCTGCAAGTGGTGAGAAATTATACCAACCGTTTTATCCCAAGTTAGCTAAGAGTTGGACATAATGGCGGTTTAAAGCAATGTAACACATTTTCTTCATACTAAAACTAAAGAGGGTCTGCTTTTTAATGAATATTTCACAAGTGTTATTGCTATTAATTATGACTCATGTTGTGAAATGGCTCTTTTCCCAGTTCTTCAAAACGAGCCAAACCTCCGCAGGACCAGAATCTTAGTGTAGCTGGGAAAGATCGGGTAGGTTAGTGGGAATGAAAGGTTTTGGCACAGTGTGAGCAACAATGATGGTCGACATTTTTATAGGAATTTATATTTTCATAAATACTTTTACACACACTATCTAATTTGATCTTTGTGACAGTGCTTTGAGGAACATGCTATTATCACTAGCCCTGTATATCCAGATGTTGCCATGGAGTTCCAAGGGATTGAGCAATTTGCCCAACATTACAGTCAGTGAGTGACAAGAGTTCCTAACAGTTCACGGAAATTTGGTTTCTCATCTTTTTCCAAAAGGGTCTCCAGTAGCTTTTATGAAGACAAAGAGAAAAAAGAGTAAAGAATATTAAAGGGAAGGCCTACCATCTGTTATTTCTTCTGGAAAGTCAACCTTAAACTTCTCCTGTTCCCTCTCCTCCTCCAATCCCTGACAGGGTTGATTGCCCTTCCTATGTGCTCCCAAGACTTCCTGGGTTTAAATTTCCAGAGTGATTACCACCCTGTTCTGTAACTCTCTCTTTCTAGACTGTGGGCCCTTTGAGAGCAGAGCCTATCTTTATAACTACTGCATACCCAGTCACCAGTAGAGAAGGTTGCTTGGTTAAGTAAGAGTTGCTGCATGAATAAATGGACACATCACAGCCACAAATATGAGAAATTGTATCAGTCCATCTCCAATCCTAAAACTTGGAGAAAGGACATCAGTAAACATCAAACTTAAAAAAGGGGAGAAAAACTAATGGATTCCTTTTTCAATCATTACAATATAAAAGAGATCCAAGTGGAGCTGCTCTAATGGAACGGGTGGGAGGTGGCGGTCAGAAGCTATCTCAGTGTCCCCCTCTTCTCTCCCTCAGGGGTCCCCCTCATCAATCCATGGATTCCACCCATCATCCTTGAGAACAAAGATGTGTTTTGTTTTGTTTTTTTGGCTGCGCGGCATGTGGGATCTTATTTCCCCGACCAGGGATTGAACCTGCGCCCCACTGC